TCTTATTGTTACTATCATTGGCATTTCCCTGATTACCACCAAATTTGAGCATATTTAAAATGTTTCTATAAACAGTACATTTTTTGTTTATACGTTTACCTATTTGTCTATTGGTTATTTAACTTTTTCTTCTTATACTGTAGCAGTGCTTTTTATATTCTGATTTAGGATTTTTTTCATCTGGAATTTATTTTCATACTCATGTAAAGTAGAAAACTAATTTAATGTTAAAAGCTTTAAGTGGCTTAACATTTTCTTATAGGACCGAGGCCAATACACTGTATCCTGAAAGCACATGCTGTTTCTGTGACTGTAATTCACTTTTCATTCCTCACATTTTTAGTTGACTCATCTGACTCCTTTTACTCATACTTCAAAATCTAGTGAAATATAGCCTCTTGCATGTAATACTCCGTGATCCACTCAAACAGTGTTGAACACCTTTTATTCATCTCCTGTACCTGACTCATACACTATTGTTGCATTCACCACATTGTGAAATCATTTACATGCCAAGATTCGACTCTGGCTTCCAAGATACCCCATAATTGATGATTGCCCTACTGTGTCTCCTTGCTTCTAACTTATGAAAGAGCTTATTCCTCTAGAATGAGAATGTTCTTTTCTACTTTTGTTCCTAACTCTGACTCTGCTATGTTTTTTTTTTTTCCCTAAAGATGCACTCTTAGATGTGTAAAAATATTTGGCTAAAAGAATATCTGTTGCAGTGTTCTTTATAATAGCAAAAACTAAGACCAATCTAAATTCAGCAATAGGGGTTCAGTTAAATAAATTTAGTAAAGCTATACAATAAATACTAAACAGTCATCCATATTGATGTCACAGAAAAAAATTACATTATGCAGATATATATCACAGGCATAAATTGAAATATGAAAATCAGATTAAACAAATCAGTATGGAAATAAAATATTATCCTATATATAACATATCACATATATTTATGTCATATATATATGATATGATATACTGTATATAAAGGGAGAGGGAAATAGAGACGAAAAGGGAGGAAGAGGAGAAACGGGGGAGGAAAATGAGAAGAAAAAGATGATGAGGACTAGAAGAATATCTACCAAAATGTTGATAGTGACTCTTGGAGGTAACGTCATGGGAGGGGGTCATGGGGACCATTGGAAACACTGACGTTAAATAGGAGGAGAAGTCACCTATAAGACTCTAATGGGCTTATAGGTAGATTTATACATGTGTGTTGGAGGATGTATGTTGACCATCTTTATTTTCTTATTTTCTAAATTTTCTAAAACAAATATGGATTATGAAGGAAAGATATTTTATAGGGTCTCTAAAATAAATGATACAACTACCTTTATAAACAAGATTAGTAATAATTTTTAATTACTAGAAAACAACTCAGAACATTTACCCATGTATTTAATTTAGCAAGTTGAAATTTTTCAAAAATAAGCAATATTTATAACTTCATGGGGATGCTGTTCTTCATTATTTGGACAATAAAATTAGGGGTGTGCAAATATTGGTCCTTTTCCTATTTGATATTTTAATACTGAAAATCAGGGTACCTTTAAATTATAACTAAAATAAGTTTGCTTTTCTAAAAAGCTCTTTGAGATAAAATCATAGCAACCTGGTCAAAAGACAGGCTATTTTTTAGTGATCCTCATCATGATTTCATATTTCTTAGTTAATTAAATAATATTTTTATCATCTAACAGCAGAAATGAATGGGTACAGAATTCAAGGTCTCCGTTATAGCTAGCTATTCTTAATTAGCTTCCCAACATTTGAAAAAGAGAAAGAAGGCAATATTTCTTTTGCTAAAAATTCTGCAATTGTCGTTTTTATTGGACATAGAATTAATTATGGGGATAAGATGAGAAATATTTCCTGATAATCTCCCAAACGTGGTGGAAACTAATTTCTTGGAGACTAATTTTGTGCTTTTTGTGATTTTTTTACTTTTATTTTAGATTCAGGGGTACCTGTGCAGGTTTGTTAAATAGGTGTCATGGGGTTTGGTGTACAGGTTATTTCGTTGCCCAGGTAATAAGCACAGCATAACACCCAATGGGTGGTTTTTCGATCCTCACCCACCTTCCACCGTCTACTAGGCCCTGGTATCTGTTGTCCCCTCCTTTGTGGCCATGTGTATTGAGCATTTAGCTCCCGTCTATAAGTAAGAATGTGCGGTTTTGGTTTTTCATTCCTGTGCTAGTTCACTTACGATGATGGCCTCTTGGAGATTAATTTTGAATATTTCTTCTTATAACAGAGAAATTTCTTTTCATATGAATTTCTAGTTTGTTTTTGCTTAGTGTAAAAAGTGAATATGTTGTAACAGGAGGAATTACAGACTATTTGTCAAACCAAGGGTAAGTTTAATATAAATTATGGGAGCCTGCAATCTTAAAAGGTAAAGCTTTGGAAGGGATATGGTGAAAGTTTGTAAAACCAGGAAATAGATGGAATGAAAACAGACCTACATTTTAGATTCCAGAGTTTGAAATGAGAAGGCTTAGGAAAAATAAAAATATATGCCATGTTGTATTACTTGACAAAAAAAAAATTACTCTAAAGGCAGCATGTATTTCAAGCCTAAAAGAGAAAAACAAAAGAAAGTAATTTCTTTATAGAAGGTTAGGAAAGGGTTAAGGGAGACATGGTAATATCAAATAAGCATGCTGAGAGTTTACCATGTGCCAGAAACTCCATTAAGAACTTTGGAGAGATAATAATAATTGTTGCAATAACACTTTCAGATGTGTATTAGCATTACCTTTTATTTCACCAGCTTTATTGAGGTATATAGGTGACACCTTAAAAAAGAAAGAATTCTGTCATTTGCAGCAAGGTAGATAGACCTGGAAGACATTATGCTAAGTGAAATAAGTCAGACACAGATAGACAAGTACTGCATAATCTCACTTATATGTGGAATCTAAAATATCTTTACTTTTATTTTAAAGACAGGCATCAAAGGTTTGTAGAAATCTCATCACTTTATTCAAGGTCATGCCACTAGTAAGCATACAAAATAAGATTTAATACTATGCAGTCATAAAAAGGAACAAGATCACGTCCTTTGCAGGGACATGGATGGAGCTGGAAGCCATTATCCTCAGCAAACTAACGCAGAAACAGAAAACCAAACACTGCAAATTCTCATTTATAAGTGGGAGCTGGCCGGGTGCGGTGGCTCACGCCTGTAATCCCAGCACTTTGGGAGGCCAAGGCGGGTGGATCACGAGGTCAAGAGATCGAGACCATCCTGGTCAAAATGGTGAAACCCCGTCTCTACTAAAAATACAAAAAATTAGCTGGGCATGGTGGCGCGTGCCTGTAATCCCAGCTACTCAGGAGGCTGAGGCAGGAGAATTGCCTGAACCCAGGAGGCGGAGGTTGCGGTGAGCCGAGATTGCCCATTGCACTCCAGCCTGGGTAACAAGAGCGAAACTCCGACTCAAAAAAAAAA